GAGGAGGACGAGGAGGAGGAAGAGGAGGAAGCGGAGGAAGAGGAGGAAGAGGAGGAGGAGGAGGAGGAGGAGGAGGAGGAGGAGGAGGAGGAGGAGGAGGAGGAGGAGGAGGAGGAGGAGGAGGAGGAGGAGGAGGAGGAGGAGGAGGAGGGGATGGGGGAGGAGGTCGAAGAGGCCTGTTGGGAACCTTTGAGGCACTCTGGGGGGGTCCTGGGTGGGCGCCTCCTGAGGGCATCTTGGAGGTCACTCGGAGGCCTCCTTGGGCCTTTCTGGGGCGGACGTTGTGCAATGTTTGCTCGTGTTGAAAATCCTTGCCCGTCTGACGCCGTCTGAACCAGCCTTGGGGGCCTCTCAGGGCCGACTTGGGGCCTGCTAGGGGCGCTTCAGGGCCGTCGTGGAGGCCATCCTGGGCGTCTTGGAAGTCTCCTGGGCCGCCGTGGAGCCCTTTTGGGGCCACCTTGGTGGCCTCTTGAACCGTAAGGGGGACATTTTGGATGCCTCTTGGAGGCTCTTGGGCCATCTTGGGGGTCTCTTGGGTCGTCTTGGGGCGTCGGGAAGTTGAAAATGAGCAAACGCCATAATCGCTCAAACCCCTTAGCACAATCAATGATGTTGGCCTTCTTGGGGGTCCTCTTGGAGGCCTCTTGGGCCGTCTTGGAAGCATCTAGGCGCGTTTTGGGCCATCCCGACGCCATAGTATGCCATCTTGGGGGCATTTGGGGCCGTCTTGGAAACATCTTGGTGTCATCTTGGACTCTCTTGGAGCCGTCTTGGGCAAACTTGGAAGCCATCTTGAGTCATCGTGGCCGTCTTGGAGGCGGCGATGTGCAGATTTCCGGTCTTCCCGGACACGGTGGCGGGCTGTGCCGAGACCCTTATTGGAGCTTTTCAATAAAAGGACCAGACACCTGCCAGGCGCGGCGGATCGAAGGCGCCCACGGCGAATCACCGCCGCCCCCCTGCTCTTTGAAATCGCCCATGTGGCCGAACGTTGTGGCAAGAGCTCTGCCGAGCTATCCGACCATGTGCTCCCCCAGCCGTCTGTCGAGCTTGATGGCGGGCTAGTTCCCTGACGGGTTTTGGTGGGGCCTTGGGAGCCCTGTTCCCGGCACCAGAAAATTTGCAGAAATCCCCCCCCTGTTCCACGGCAGAGCCACCCGGGCAACCCCCTCAGGAGATCCGAAACTCTTGGTGTAGCTTTTTAGAACTCGCACGCACGCACGATCAGCGGATGTCACCACTGAGTGCGAAGGACAGTAAGGGACCTGAGGAAATTCTTGACGCTTCGCGTATCCCCACCAGTTTTGGCCCGGACGTTGTGACCGTTCCCTGGGGTTTTCCTTGGAGCCGCCGAGTAAAAAAAATATCCCCACCAGTTAGACGCATCCCGCTTCTGCATGGGCAGCGTGGCAGGTGTTGAGTAGGTGTGGCTGTCCACCATACACATGGTGATTGGCTTCGTCAAGTGAGCGGCCCCGCATCGAGTGGTTCAGCCTTCCGCGGTCCAAGTTCGTTTTGCTCTTCTCGGCGCAGACACAGCCCCAGCCCTCGCCAGGACATTGCATCGTTGTGCCTTCGAACTGCGTGAGTCGGATACGATGTAAGTGCACTGGCTACCTGCTGGTGGTTGCCAGCCTCGTGCACGCACACCAGTGGTCTATTGGATGGTGCCCCGACACCCCTCATTGACACCGGTGTTCAGCGGCTTTTGGCTGCGCCCCCCTCCTGCCTGAGACCCGCCCTGGTTCGTCGCCGACCCGGCCATGGTTCTACCACAAGGACGTCTTGGCCCGCCGTCAGCACGCCGCCTACGAGCGGTACGGCCCAGCAGCTCGGTAGCCGCCAGCCATCGTTTCGCCACCGGCGTTTGGGTATTCGGCTTCCGCACGGGCAGCGTGGCAGGTGCGGAGTGGGTGCGGCTGTCAGCCATACCCTCGGTGACACCGGGTGTTTGGCTTCGTCAAGTGAGTGGCCCTGCGTTGAGTGTTTCAGCCTTCCGCAGTTCGTGGTCGTTCTCCTTTCAGAGCAGCCCCAGCTACCAGCCCTCGTCAGTACATTGCATCGTTGTGCCCCCGAACTGCGTGAGTCGGATACGATGTGCACGCACTGGCTACCGGCTGGAGGTGGCTCAGCCTCGTGAGCGCACACCAGTGGTCTTCCTCTACTGGATGGCGCTTCGACGCGGATCAGCCACACCTCAGCTTCAGTGAGCTTTGATGAGTCAGGCCTCTTTCGCCGCACCATCGTTTACCCGGGGTGCTGCAGTGAGTCTGAGTTAGTCGCTCGCGCTCGCTCTCTCCCCCCTTTCTTTTCCGTTGTCTCGTACGGCCTGTCCCTGTGTGCACGCACGTGGGCTTCGCTTGGTCATTGACCATTCGGATCCGCGTTCCGCCTGCGGCTTTACAGTGCCCCGCTGTCCGTCTTGGCCTCGCTTCCGATTGTGGTTCGGCTGGAGCTTGGCGCCGCAAGGGCGAATTCTCCCCCCCGTTCCGCTGCCGGTCGCCGCGCCTTTGCTTCCCCACCTGCCGGGATGTCTGGTCACCTGCCGACGCTGTCTTGTGCCTCAATGAGGGGCATTTTGTCCCTGGCATGTGCATACGCCACTGCGGCCAATTTGCATCGTACCGCGCCCCGGACGTTGTGCCCGCTCCCTGTCCCTCGCCTTGGAGCCGCGCGCCAAAAATCCCCACCAGCATGCACTGTTTGGTGGACGGGCGGGTGTTGAAATCGCCACGGAGTGGTTCAGCCCTTCGCAGCAGCTGCAGCACCCCAGGCTCGCCTACCAGCTTCCGGCAGGTCGCGTCGCACCACGTTCCGCGACAGCTCAGCCCCCTTGGCTAGCACACGTCGTTGGGACGGTGGGAGCCTGGCGCCCCACTGGCGAGTCGCTCCTCGGGCCCCGCGCCTGCCCCCACTCAGAATGACGGACTCGGTTGCTCAGGTACACGTCTTGTCACTGTGTAGGTCGTGCCTCATGGCAGGCATCGAATTCCTCGACATTTTGTCCATTGCATGTGGTCGAGCTTCCCAGGATGCCCCCCGCCGTCAGTCCCCCCACTGCCTCGCGGCTGCTTTGTGAATGGGCCGGCCGGCTAGTGCGCCTCTTGTAGCTAATTCGGCTTGCCCGTTGGCCCGGACACCCTGCCCGCCGCCTGCCTCTTTGCTTGCGGCCGCGACCGAAAAAGTATCCCCACCAGCAGGCAGCTTAGGTTTCCCGCGCTCTAGCTTGCTGCTCGGTGTAAATTAGTAAGGACCGCGCCCCGGACTTACCGACCCGCCGCTTGCGCCTTCGCTTGCGGCCGCGACCAAAAAGTATCCCCACCGGCCCATCCAGAATTGATTACCTAACAGCGTAGACTGATAGGTTTCTAGTTGACTCAAAAGAGCTCACAGATCACTCCACAGGGGGGTCCGGGCAGGCGTTGGGAGTTGCCGGCCGGGCCTGTGCCGGGCTCGCTTTTCACCAACAGTCACACACTTCGTGCTCTTCGACTTCCCAGAACTCCATTCCCAGGCCACATTCTGAGTAATCGGATGCAACAGTCACACACTTCGTGGTCTTCGAGCCCCCAGAAATCCATTCCCGGGCCACATTTTGAATGCCCGGAGCCAACTGTAAGCCACTTCGTGGTCTTCGAGTCCCCAGAACTCCATTCCCGGGCCACATTTTGGATGCCCGGAGCCAACTGTAGGCCACTTCGTGGTCTTCGAGTTCCCAGAACTCCATTCCCGGGCCACATTTTGGATGCCCGGAGCCAACTGTAGGCCACTTCGTGGTCTTCGAGTTCCCAGAACTCCATTCCCGGGCCACATTTTGGATGCCCGGAGCCAACTGTAGGCCACTTCGTGGTCTTCGAGTTCCCAGAACTCCATTCCTGGGCATGATTTTGAATGCCCGGAGCCAACTGTAGGCCACTTCGTGTTCTTCGAGTTCCCAGAATTCCATTCCCAGGCCACATTTTGAATGCTGAGGCAGGCTGAGGCTGAGGCTGAGGCAGGCTGATGCTGAGGCAGGCTGAGGCTGAGGCTGAGGCTGATGCAGGCTGAGGCTGAGGCAGCTGAGGCTGACGCCGAGGCTGAAGGCAGACTGAGGCTGAGGCTGAAGCAGGCTGAGGCTGAGGCTGAGGCAGGCTGAGGCTGAGGCAGGCTGAGGCTGAGGCTGAGGCAGGCTGAGGCTGAGGCTGTGTCTGTGACTGCCGTTGCCACTGCGACTGTCATCGCGAATGCGACTACGACTGCGAGAACAGCACAATTCTACAACTGGATTCTCATTTGAATCTTAAGGGGAATGCTTCCAGATATGCTCCTACACATCGCTGTTAGGTTGCTTTGCCGGGATAATTGCCAGTTTGTTTAAGGCCTCTTTGGAGGCTATTTTGAGCCATGCTCGGCTAGAGGCTGTCGGAGGCTATCTTGAGCCATGTTCGGCTATCTTGAGGCCTTCTTGTGGCCCTCTTGAGGATCTTTTGGGGGAGTCTTGGAGCCCTCTTGGGGCTCTTTGGGGGGTCTGGGAGGCATCTTGGGGCCGTCTTGGGCACCATGGCTCAAAAAGAGGGGGGGGGAAATTCGCCCCCCCCCCCCCCCCCCCCCCCTTTCGGAGGCTCTCAAACGGCATCTTGGGGCCCTCTTGGAGCGCTCTTGGGCGCCTCTTGGGCGCCTCTTGGGCGATCTTGGGGCCGTCTTTTGGGTCATCTTGGGGCCATCTTGAGGCTTCCAAAGCCCATCGGAAGCGAAAAGGCGAGAATGCCAAACACATTGATTTTCCAAGGCTTTTGAACGGTTTGGGCATCTTGGAAGGCGCCGTGGAGGGCTCGAAGGGCACTTGGATCCGTCTTGGGGCTGTCTTGGGGCCTCTTGGGGGTATGTCGGAGGCTATCTTGACCCATCTTGAAGTAGCATGGGCCATCTTGGAGGCCATCTTGCGACTTCGAAGCCCTCTTGGAGCAACCTTGGGCCATCTTGGACGCTCTAGCGCCTCGGTGCCCCCCCCTTCCTGGCCCAGGGGAGGGGGTAGGGGGAGGGGTTTCAGTGGAAGACAAAAGAAAAACGCGTTATACCACCTAAGCCCAGAGGGCTGGTGGGATTTCGACTCGTGCCTCGCGGCACGGTGGCGGATGTGTTTTCTGCCCGGTATGGTGGGGAGGGGCTCGTTGTACCTGGTTGGCGGCCGATTGCCTTGGTCGGCGAATTCCATCCGCGAGAATCCGAATTGGCCTGACAACCAGTCGATGGGGTTCTGAACTTTGTGTTGGGTGCATCCGCAGAGCAGTAGGATGCGAGTGCCAGGCAGGATGCTCAGGATGCAGTCGTTTATCGTACCACGCGATGCGCAGGCTTGCATGGCGCTCCTGTGCGGCACTGACCCCGGAGAGGGCGACATCGAGAAGCGGATGGGCATCCTGCACCGCCTCGCACAGAACCAACCCGTCTTGCTCGCCAAGAAGTTGGAGGATACCATTCGAAGTGGGCGTTCGTACCCTCTGCCCTCCTCCGCCCTCGCCTTGGCTGCCCCGACTTCATTCCCTTCTGCCTCTCGGCCTCCTCACACTTGCAGCGAGCGCCCTCCTCGCGTCTCTCTTGTCCCGACTGCGCTTCTGGGACCATCGTGTCATTGCTATCCAGGTGCATGTCGTTAACGGTTTCACCTCTGTAGTACACGTGTTGTTTCTCTACATCCCTCTTTCTCCCTCGCTCTCTCTCTCTCTCGACTGGTATTGTTCTCTCTCTCTCTCTCTGCTGTTCGCCTTCCTTTCTGTCTGTCTGGCTGTCTTTCCCTCTCTCTCTCTCTGCTCTCTGCTCTTTGCTCTCTCTCTTTCTCTCTCTCTCTCTCTCTCTCTCTATACACGTATTTTATGTTTCTGTGTATGCATATTCTTGTATGACATCATTATATCACTCATTCTGCCTCCTTCCTTCTCTCCCCTGTATTGCTCCACATTTCACGTGGCGAGCGTAGCCCCTGTCCGAGCGTCAGTGTCCAATTGGCAGCACGTGTTGGGCGTAGAGCGCGGCCACTCCTCTACGGAGGCAGATGCGGCAGATGCGGAAAGGCCGAGGGACACGGAGCGACAGAAGGCTGAGCTGCAGTGGAGAAGGGCTAGATATCCTCCTCCTCCCCTTCGTGCCTCTCCCCTCTCCTCCCTCTCTCCGCCCTGCACTGTCGTCCTCTCCGGGTCCATTTCGGTCCGATCGCTCCGATTCGATATCGATTCTGGCCTGCTCGATCCGATTCGACCCCGGTATTCAAGCGATCCGATGCGGCTCGATGTCTGCATGGCGCCGTTGTGCATTCTGGCGCAGCCGATCGGATCTGGCTTCGATTCAGTATTGATTTAGCCAGATCCGATCCACGCTCCAATCCGATCCGATGTTGCGATTCGATGCTGTCTGTCCCTGCCCTCTCGTCCTCCGCTCTGCTCGCAGACGGGGCACGGACTGGGGAATGGGCAACACACGGTCTGGCGGCGATGTTTTCGTGCTCGGCCAAGACTCTGCAACCCTGGCTGTGCCCTTGTTTGCTTAGCGGGCTCGAGTAAGAACACGATTCTGTAGAGATGCCTTGCCTACCGTCGACGCTGTGGCACCTGATGCCGAGGGCACTGCTCGCTGACGGGGCATGGGCATCGCGCCCCGTGCGCACAGCTCTGGCTGGCCGCCAGCTGCCTCGCGCATCCTGCCGCCGCGCGCCGTGTCGAGATCTGATGCCCAGGGCTCCGAGTGACTCTCTCCTGGCCTCCCCCACCCACTGTTGATGGGATCGGCCCCCCTCCCCCCCGCCGCTGCATGGGCACGCCCGTAGGCCTCGCGGGTGCCTCGCGAGTGGGATCGCCCCCTCCCCCCCCCCCCCCCCCCCGGCCCCCTTCTTCTTCCCCCCCACCCCGTCCTCCTTGTCTCCTCCTCTTCCCTCTTTCCCTGCTGATGCTGCTCTCCTCCTCCTCCTCCTCCTCCTCCTCCTCCTCCTCCTCCTCCTCCTCCTCCTCCTCCTCCTCCTCTCCACTCCCTCCTTCTCCTCCCCCTCGTCCTCCTCGTCCTTCTGCTCCTCCTCCTCGTCCTCCTCGTCCTTCTGATCCTCCTCCTCATCATATTCCTGCTCCTCCTCCTGATCCTCCTTCTCCTTGTTCCTCCTCGTCACCGTCGTTATCCTTGTAATCCTCGTTATCCTCCTGCTGCTGCTCATCCTCCTCCTCATCCTCCTCTTCCTCCTCCCCACCCTGCACCTCCTCTCCCTCCTCCCACCGCTGCTCCTCATCCTTCTCCTCCTCCTCCTCCTCCTCCTCCTCCTTATCATCCTCCTCCTCCTCCTCCTCCTCCTCCTCCTCCTCCTCCTCCCCCTTCTCGTCCTTCTCCTCCTCCTCCCTCTCCTCCTCCTTTTCCTCCTCCTCCTCACTCCTCCTTCCACCTCCTCCTTATCCTCCTCCCCCTCCCTCCTCCATCCTCCTCCTCCCTCCAGGGTGCCCTGGGGTTCTTGGGGTTCGATGGTTTTGCGATGGAGAGCATGGCGTTCCCATACCGAGAATCAGTGGATATCCTATAGGGTCTCCGGGCTAGAGTTCTCGTGGAGGCTTCCTCGTGGTCGAGCTACCGCTGTGTGAGTTGGAGGGTCTGTAAAAGCGGCCCGAGGGCGTGCTGCGGGAGATCGTGATGCCGCTGGCACACTGACCAGGGGAGCGTGGGCTCGGCGGGGGGCGAGCCCCGCTTCGCCGGACGTCCCCGGGTCGCACCCGATCGCGGAGGGCCTGCGGCGGCGTTCGCGGGGGGGGGTGGCCCCCACCTATCGTGGCGTCGAGGGGCAGCATTGGGCCGCGCCACAGTAGTGCAGCTGAGGGTCCCGGGGGGGCAGGGGGGCACGGTGGGACAGGATGGCGGGGATGGGAGTACGAGCATCATGAGGGGGAGGAGGAGGAGGAGGAGAAGGAGGAACAGGAACAGGAACAGGAACAGGAACAGGAGGAGGAGGAGGAGGAGGAGGAGGAGGAGGAGGAGGACGAGGTGTGTAGCCATTTTGGCTCAAGTTCGAGCCGCGGTGCCCTGGCGGCTTGAGCTTGTACGCAGACGAGGGGCTGTCCCAAGCCTCTTCAGGAACAGCCCTTCGATCCCCACTGTCCGAGCCTTCAGAGGCCCAGTCGATTACCCGTCCTGGCGCTCGCTCTTTCCTGCCCAATTGCAGCTACCAGGTAGCCATATTGCGATGGGCGGTGATGGCGTGCCCGACCAGGTGCAGGTGGATACTCGTATGGCCATGGATCTCGAGAACATGGCGACTCGCCCGCAGTGTCAGGGAGCGATTCCGTCCCAGGTGGTGACTCCTACTCGCGGTGCCGTTGTTGTTCATGATTTTGACTTTCATCCTTGTCAACACCATCTCGCTGCAGCATAAAAGGCCGGCTTCGAAGTGGTCAGTGCCAACGCACGGCGCGATCGAGAACCTTCCACCTCGCAGACCCTCAACGACAGTTTGGCCGGCCTCGCTGGCAGAGTTCGTCAGTCGACACGTATATTTGGGCAAGCTATGGCAAATCAAGTGGGATGACGGCTTCAGGGTGTTGGGCAAGCGCAGTCAGGCCATTCCAAGCATATACAGTCCTTCCCGGGGAAGCCACCCGTAGCGAGCTCAACATTGCCAAGGAAAAGCCAGTCAGCCGCACACGTCCTTCCCGAAGCTCACGCTTGACTCGTCCTTCAACCTCGCGATCGACATCACCATCATGGTGGTTCGCTGCAAGATGCAGTCCGCCAAGCTCCAGATTCGTGAGGTTCTTCTTCCGTGGACAAATCGGTTCACCATCGAGGGAAATCAATGGGAGCTCCAATGAGCCACATGATACACACTCCACGATCAAGTTCAAGGGTAGTTCGCAGTTCGCCTCCCGTCGGGTGCACCAGGCACTCAGCTTACTGTCCCCCGCAGCGCCAAGGTGAGGATCGAATGCGGTTTCACGCGCCTGCTGTTCTAGGCGAGAGGGCTGAGATTTCTGTCGGGCCCGTCAAACAAAACAATGCGATATTAAGCACGAGGTCGCTCTCAAGGCTGCCAGGAGGTTCCTCGAGAACTGCCTCCAGGGAAACCGATGTTTTTTGGATTAGCCTCGAGGCGCGATTTCAGGTATAACTGGCGCCTGCTCGTGGAGATCTCTCCGCGGTGTGATTCTGATTCGCCGCAGGTGCGCTAGGGAGAAGTTGACCTCGCACTTCGCCACCAACCAAACCACCCCAATCCAACCCGAAGGCCTCAATGTGCCCTCCATTTCCAGTGGGGGGGGAACATTGAAAAACTGCATGGAACCCGTAACCCCCAACCCCAAATTCGGGTCTTCGGGTTGGGTTGGGGTGGTCTGGTATGTAGTCAGCACTCGAGCAGATGTCCCGCGAGGAGCTTGTGGAGCCCCTGGCCGCCGTCCGGGAGACACTCAGAACCGGCAGTCGCCTTTTAGCGCTTTATTCGTTCTCTCTGGAGTGGCGCTCCGAAGACCGGCGTTGTGCTGTGTCCTTCGTAAGACTTGCGTGCGCTTGGCCAAGTTTAAGTCGGGCTTGTCCCCCTACAGAGGGAAAATTCAAAAATAGTCAACAGATAGTCTGGGGACAATGTTTCGAATATTTGTTGGCCATTTTTGCAGTATTGTTCCCCATATCCAGAGGATGGGGTTCTTGTTATTCCCCATATCCAAAGGTCGGGGTTCTTGTTATTCTCCGACCGCGCCGGACCACCCATACCATGATGATGACCATGGTATGATGAGACTATGATGTGAGTATGATGGTGATGGCGATTGATGGATAAGTATGATGATGATGAGGATGATGATGAGGATGAGGATGAGGATGAGGCTGAGGCTGATGCTGATGCTGATGCTGATGCTGATGCTGATGCTGATGATGATGATGATGATGATGATGATGATGATGATGATGATGATGATGATGATGATGATGATGATGATGATGATGATGATGATGATAATGACGATGAGCAGATGAGGATGATGTCTCGAGCGGCTTCCTGGTTTTAGCACTCCTACGGGGGGGGGCGCCAGGCGTCTTGCACGGCCTCCGTTCGCGTCCAAATGGCGGGGATGTCTCAGGCGGTTTGCCTGTTTTGGTCCTCAACATCCTCCGTTATCGCAGCAGGTTCTGAACATGTCTCGTGCGAGGCGCCTCCTGAGGGGCGGCCGCCAGGGGTATTGCACGGCCTCCGTTCGCGCCAAAATGGCAGGGATCTCTCGAGCGGTTTGCCTGTTTTGGTCCTCAACATCCTCCGCTTTCGGAGCAGATTAGGGAGTGTCTCGAGCGAGACGCTCATTGTCACCCCCCAGATCGGCCAGATTTTGAGGATGTCTCGATCGGTGTGCCTGTTCTGGTGGCCACACTCGTGGGCACATATTCTCTTCAGGATGCCACAGGAGGCTCCAACAGGCTCCAGGAGGCCACATAAGGTCCCAGGAGGCATCAGAGAAAGACTCAAGAGGCCACAGGATGTCCCAAGAGGCTCCAGGAGGCCCCAGGAAGCACCACGAGGCCGCAGGAAGCCACTGGAGGCCCCAGGAGGCCACAGGAGGCGCCAGGAGGCCTCGGAAGGCAACAGGAGGCCCCGAGAGACCCCAGGTGCAGGAGGCCTCAGAAGGCAACATGAGTGGCTTCAATCCCATGTGCTTTACGTATGCTCCTATAGATTGGGCTTCACCTGGAGCACGAATCCTTGATGTTATACGTATGTTTGTATATTTTTTCCTTCTCCGGTGTACACAATCCTAAGTATTTTATTTATGTTCCTATATATATTGGGCCTCTCCTGGGGCACGAGGCCTTGGTGTTTTACATGTGTTCCTATAGATTGCCCTTCTCCTGCGGCTCCAATCCGCAATGTTTTATGTACGTCTGTTGCTATAGATTGGGCCTCTCCTGGGGCACGAATCCTCCCTAGGAGGTCCACAGAGGCCCCAGGAGGCCCCAAGAGGCTCCTGGAGGCTCATGCGCAGAGACGCGCTCATACTACTGAGGCTCATTCACGCTCCAATTCATTCGCAGTTAGATTCATGACCCGACCGTCACAGCTCAAACCCGTTTACATTCGACAACTCTTGCGCCTAGACATTCACGGCGGACAGGTTCATGCGAATAGATGCACATACGGGGAGCTCCACGCAGTGAATCATTATCCGACCGCGCCGGGCCAAAAGAATTCCTCCCCTCCTCCCTCTCTGCACTAGACAATGATGATGATTGTCATGATGATGACCATTGTATGGAGAGTATGATGTGAATATGATTGTGATGGTGAAGGATGGATGGGTATGAGGATGCTGATGCTGATGCTGATGATGATGCTGATGATGATGCTGCTGATGATGATGATGATGATGATGATGATGACGATGATGATGATGATGATGATGATGATGATGGTGATGATGATGATGACGATGACGATGACGATGAGCAGATGATGAGGATGTCTCGAGCGTCTTGCTGGTTTTAGCACTCCTAAGGGGGGGCCGCCAGGGGTATTGCACGGCCTCCGTTCGCGCCCACATGGCGGGGATGTCTCAGGCGGTTTGCTTGTTTTGGTCCTCAACATCCTCCGCTTTCGGAGCAGATTCTGAGGATGTCTCAGGCGAGGCGCTGGTTCTCGCACTCCTAGGGGGGGGGGCGCCAGGGTTATTGCATGGCCTCCGTTCGCGCCCAAATGGCGAGGATGTCTCAGGCGGTTTGCCTGTTTGGGTCCTCAACATCCTCCGCTTTCGGAGCAGATTCTGAGGATGCAGGCGAGGCGCTGGCGTTCGCACCCCAGGGGGGGCCAGATTTCGAGGATGTCTCAAGCGGTTTGCGTGTTTTGGTAGTCAGACTCGTCTGCTGTCAAAGCAGATTATGAGGATGTCTATGGCGATGCGCTGATTTCAGCACTCCCAGAGGGCCCAGATTGCGAGGAAGTCTTAGACTCACTTATGCTCAAACTCACTCGTGCTCAGGCTCACTCATACTCAGACTCGCACTCATCAGACTCGTATTCAGACTCACTCACACCCAGACTTACGCACACTCAGACTCACTCACACTTAGACCCACCCACCTTTCGACTTATTCGTAGTCAGACTCACTCGTACACAGACCCACTCAGGGCCAGCTTCATATCCATCATACTCATACTCAGACGCACTCACATTCAGATTTACTCACACTCAAAATCACTCATACTCAGACCCACCCACCCTCATATTCACTCGTAGTCAAACTCACTCGTACTCAGACCCATTCAGAATTATATTCGCACTCACTATACTCATACTCAGACTCACTAGCTTTCGCACCCCAGGGGGGGCAGATTGCGAGGATGTCCCAGATTCACTTGTGCTCAGACTCGTAGTCATCATACTCATACTCAGACTCACTCACACCCAGTCCATGCAAATAGATGCACATATGGGGAGCTGCACGCAGTGATTTGTTTTTTTTGTTTTTTTTCGCCCAAAAGCTCTGTAGGAGGATAGACCCGACTTAAGGCGAAGCTTAAGTATCTCCGTCGCCTGCTCCGCTCTGGGACAATCGTAGCCGCGCTTGATGTTCACGGCACGGTTGCAGAGATGCAGGATTTCTTGCATCATTCTGACCTCCTTTTCGCGCTCGCTCGCTTCTTCCACCTTCGCGTGC